CTGCTGCCGAATTCGTCAAGTACTGCCCTGGATTTATTCTACTTTTGCAACCAGCTACAATCCTACAAATATAATCGGCTAAGTGCGTCTGTTGGTGTGCTTGTGTGTGTTTGTTCGACCGAAAATCCATAACTCCTGTCCCACTGTAACCAAAGCATTCGAATTTGAAAGGGAGATAGGCGGCAGGATGGGAACACTGATGGTAGGTAAAAGGAAGTGACAACAATCAATAGAAACTGAAAAGGAGCCTTTAAAGCCAAAAGTCACAGGATCCGTAACTTCCTTTATATTAACCGTGATTGGTGGCAGGGAATAATGGCAAGTGGTTGGGACTGATAAAAAGCCATAGAAGGTGAGAATCTTTAGGTCTATAACGCCCTTCATTTTAACGGTGAGGCTTCAGCAATTTGATAGGTGATGTGGGATGGGAAGAGACTATAGACGATTGGTGCCAAGAACTGATAATATGTGAGAAAAGCTGACAAAAAGCCATAGGAGACTATAGCCACTAGATCTGTAACGCACTTTCTGTTAATAATGGAATCGTGGAATCTTAATAGGTGATGTAACAAGATCATGAGCACTCGGTGACGGGAGCTTATAACTGCTGATACCGGCTGATAATGAGCTGTCAAAACCAAAGCTCTTCGTTCTTCGTGTAAACAACGCAACATTGGCGCTTTGGTGGTGACGTGATCGAGAACGGTTGGTGTCAGGCCAGGAGCTAATAAAACTGATGAGGGCTAATGAAAATCCTCAAAAGGGTAGAGCCACTATAATAATGGCATTGATAGTGGAGCTTTGACAGTTTGGCATGTGATGTGGAGTATGGTGGGGTCGGCCGGCCAATGATAAGAACTGATAACACCTGATAGCGACTGAAAAGGGCACGTACCAACTGAATTTGATGTCTACGATGTATTTATGATTACGACTATCAGATAAGACCGCTACCTAGCAAGGTTTGTAACTCGGTGGTAGATCAAGGTTACTTTTTGTTTTGATATCACTTACGACAGAGCTCATCCAACCGCCATTAATTTGAGATTCTCAACTAATGATGTATCTGTGGAGGAAAGGTCCAGTAATAACGACAACTATTAATGTTATTATCACTTAAGAACACTTGTGAGAACTACGCAATTCTTTGGTTGCTTATCAATTAAACCTACAATGGGCTTAATTGGTAGACAACTAAAGAGCTGAGCAGTACTCCAAATGATTTTTAAGTTAAGGGGCAACGATCGAGACCTTCAACCGTAGGCGTAAGAATCGGCACACCCTAAATACCACTGGCGCTGCCCTGCTTATGCTAGCTCTCCTCTTTTTGGGTCCTGTGTCAAAGTTGTATAGACCGTGTCGAATTTCCTGTTCAGAAAAGCATAATTCGTGCCAAAAAGGGGTGGCGGGTTGCCGATTACTAGAACTTAGAGAAGGAGAGTGGGGGAGGGGGGGGGGGGGGGCGTAAGTAGGGCNATTTGACTGTTTTATTTATGTTGCTGCAGTCACTACTGTGGAGCAACTGTGGTTTCAAATAAGCAGGTTTTTCTTCCCAATTCACAACAGTTACCATGAGCATGTTGCATCACGATCCTGGTGTGATTTAAGAAGGAAACCGGGATTATTTCTGTCAGCAACTTGTGAGTAGTTTTTTGACTGGCGTATACATTATTTCATATCCTATTATACGTTATTCTTTGCACATCTGGCGATTACAGACTGGTAGGTGGTGGCGAAATGCCGCTATGTTATGGGTGATTATGGGTGATAATTAATTAATTTTTTGTTTCAGTTTTGTTCTTAGCCCTCTATTTGATCCTAAATTAAGTGCTGTGGGTACCAGTTGTAATCAGATACCTCCAACTCGCTTTGCTCTTAATTCTTTAGAGAACCCTGCCTTGAAACGGGGTGCACGGAAGGGCCACTTCTCGCCTAGGTGCGAAAACTTGATGTCCGCTATGCTGTTCACATCTTCCATGAGCGAGTGAAAGATGAAGCGTTAAAATGTATGATGATAACAATAGTAAGAAAACTACACGTTTAGAGCAAAAAAAAAATGTTTTCGAGCAAGAATTATGTGTATTTTATGTGTAAAGGTTAAAATGTTGGTTAAAAGGTTATTGACGAGGTATAAATTTCAGGAGAGGTGGAGCCGAGGGCTGCAGTGCTGGAGGTAGGTGCGTAAAGGAAGGTTGAGTGCAGGATTCTCGAGGTATGAGGTTCCCGAACCGAGGACGGCGCAGAAATGTAAAGGTTGAAAAGTGGAGGAAGTGGCACGTATAGAATAAGTAATCCTGAATGGAATGGTGGTGATATCGTTCTTGCGACCTCTTCTGATGGTGCTGTAATCTGCCCCAAATCTCTGAAAATCCTGTAAAACGTATGAAATAGCCCAACTCTTGAACCAAATGGTATTTGATGACTAATTAACATCTAGTGGCCACGATATCAACTATTTATATGATATCTAGTGTGCAAATTTTACTCTCTCGAAGTTACTTTTTTTTCTAAACGCTTCACTGTTTTGTTGTCCTCTTCATTTGTTTTTTACACACCTAATTACGACTTGAGAGGCTGCTTTCAGACCTCGACGACCGTCCGTCCGCCCGTCCGTCCGTCCGTTCAACGCCTGCGCGACGCCGGTCCCGTACGTGTCGCGATGGCGGATCTAGAAAGTGCTGACAGCGTCTGATCAGTATTCGGCGCTGTCAACACCCTTTTAGAACCGCGGTCGCGGCACGCACGCGACCGCCGTCACGCACGCGTTGAACGGAAGGACGGTCGTTGAAGCCTGAAAGCAGCCAGAGCAGCGTGGTGATACAGACGAGGGCAGAAAAGTGACGCATCCGGCAAAATTAAAGGAACCGAGTTCAAGTAGTTCGTAGATCATGGCCCACAATGTGTGCGTGCTCTGATCGATGGTCCTATATTGGCCAACAGCTAATCAGCTTTTTTGTTTAATTCGTCTAAAAATAGCTACAGTGAGCCAGTAAGAGTGACTGATCTGAGTGAGGTCACTGACGTGGGAATAATGTAGTTGAAAGGGCCACAGTTCTTCCCATCATAGAGGGAGAATGAAATTTTTTCCGTCTGCACTAGCAGTCGTTCCATATTTTCGTTTTTCATTGTAATCATATAAACCTTTTTTACAACTTTTGTAATCTTCTTTTGCTTCGTTATAGAGTTTTATGAGGTTTTTTCTCTCCTCCTTGATTGAGTTTAGATCGCTTTGCAACAGTGTCGCCGACTTTTTTTTAGCTATTACTATTCGTTTTATCTTCGTCTGTTGTAGGGTAATCGACTACTGCTCTGTATTTCGTATACATTGAGATTAGATTCTTGAGCGTCTTTGCGCTGCTTACGATAAGAAATTTGTGGGAGCACAATGACATTTTATTGGAAGCTCCCGTAACTTTTTGTTTTCCTATTTGTCGATATTTGAATTCCTCACAAAACCCGCGCAATCAACTCTACCCGTGAGGCATGAATTCTCAGTAGAACAATTCAAGTGAAATGTTGTAGAGACCAGTCGCGAGGATGCGAATATATCAATGAGGCACTCCACGCCCTCAGATAAAGGAAGGTAGTGTGTGTGTGGGTGAAACGTGGTTTCAGATGGAGTAATTAGGAATTGCTCATAAATTTCATGTTGAACAAATGTGAAAAGTTGCAGCTTAACTGTGGCATTCTTTTCGGGTTAAGATCTGTCTATTTTCGTCCGATTTTAATGAGTACTATGATCGAAGGATGAAGTTTGGTGAAAATGTAGTTGGGGGGTGCCAGCGCCCTTTTGTGCTCTGCGTCCCTGACACGAGCGGTGGGTGCACACAGAACGCAGAGATGGATTCCTCCCCTTCTAAAAGTTGGGGAAGGAGCTTCGGGGTGGGAGAGATGATTATACCGTGCAAAAAGCTGGAATGGGGCAAGAACTGAAGATCCAATTGGTTCACCCACCCCGGAGCTCCTTCCCTAACTTTTAGAAGGGGAGCAGCTCCGAGATGGGTGAGATGATTAGATGAGGTAAGAAATGAAGAGACGCAGAGTACAAGAGTGCCTGGCACCCCCCAACTACATTTTCACCTGAAGTTTTTGCTGCCGGACAGATGTCTTAAAATGAGACAGCGAGCGTAAAGCGTTTCAACGTATCAGTAGAGTCGTAGCGGTACTCAGAAACTAGTGACATAATGCTAAGGCTAGGAGAATGATTAGGCAAATTCAGGAACAATGCCTAAAAGAAGTGAAGTCACATTGAACTAATTTTCGAAAGGGATAGCATAGAAGTAATGATTTTTTTCTTTTGTCATTCAGAATCAATGAACCACTTGTCTATTCGGTTTTCTGATCTGATTTTGTGGAGACCGAGCGGGTTCGGGGTAGAGTTTCCACCATTCGAATATTTCCCAGAGATTACAACTTTCGCTTTTGCTTAAACACAGCTTGGTTGCGACTATCCTTCAGAGTGACCCATTCCACACCCACATGTTTACACATACTTCATTTGCGCTTGTATGAGGCCGTAGCGTGCCTCATTGATATGCGTGCATCCGCGGGACTGGTCTCTACAACGCTTCAATTACGCTGCTCCACTGAGAATTCATGCTCCAATAGTAGAAGTGATTGCGCGGGATCTGTGAGAAATTCGAATATCGACATCGCATCAGACCAAACCTTATTTAGTCTTCCTTAGTCAAGTGTTGAGGCATGATTATTTCTTTCCCTTCTCTATATCAACCTTTTATTGCTCTTATACGAAAAGTGAAATTCGGTTGATCATTGTGAAATCTACTCATTAATGAATTATGCGCATACATGAGACATTAGGGACAAATAGAAGAATAGAGTAGCCCAATAGGGGATGACTCTTCTTTTCTGTTTGTTAGAGTGAATGGGGTCGTTATGCATTCAGCATCACAAAATGCAAATTGTCGAGTACGTTTCATTTCTTTTTACAGTTCCGCACTTGTGGTTGCTGCAGCGTGGAGATCTGAAGGAAAGCAAGAATGGATTCGTTTAATATGCTTCTGAAGTAAGTTCCGCTTTTTCTTTGCTTCTTTGAATAACCTCACT